TTAGATGGTCTGGGCTTCAACTTGGAATCCATATTAATAAAACTCTGAATGAACTATTTTTTTAATTTCAATTATTGATTTTAAATTAGGAATTTATTAAAATTCAAGCCCTTTTACTACTTAGTTATTTAAACAAAATTAAAAATAAACATGATTATAAAATGAATAAAATAACTTTAATTCTTCATAAACAATCTTCTCATCAAGATAATGTATGGAACATGATTATATATTAGAATTTAGACAATTTAGTGTAAATCCAAAGTATCTACAGTTATTAGTTTTGGTTACACCAAAAATGTTAAAACTTATAAATCGTTAATTTTTTTTCTAAATTAATTTTTTATTTAATAACTTGAACTACGGGTAATTAAAATATGTGTATAACAATTTTATATGCGTAAGAATAAAAGATATCATTGTAGTATATATTATTAGCATTATTTGAATTGAAATTAACATGGTTAAAAACAAATTCTTAACTTGATTTTTTTTTTCAAACCATCAGCAATGTAGAAAATTATTATTATTTGTTTATTATCATTAGTTACCATGATTTTTCATCGGATAATCAGTTACTTAACATATACTTAATGTTATTCAATTTGCCCGGAGTCCCCCCCCCACCCGACTGGATACGGACAGTTTTAACAGTGACAACTTAATAATATAGTGATGAAATTGTAAAATAAATTAAAAACTATAATAGCAATGGCTGGTCAAGATTTGCATAAGTGATACATTTGAAAGTTGAAAGTTATGATGTACAATTTGAAATACCATAAATACTTTCAAAAAATCCAACTTTGTTTGCTATTGCATAAAAGACTGAAGACTATTTCATTTCAAAAACATAAATACCCTATATTGGCAAATATGTCTGAAGATCTGAAATATTATTATGTTAAGCTTATGTGCATTCATGGAGGTGTTCATAAGTAAAAAAAAAAGATTTGTCAAGATCAACGAAATACCTCGTAAGTATTTAAAATATTTTAGATATTAACATTGATAAGTTATAGAATATAGTTTCGATTATGAAATATTAAAATATGGTTATAACTTTTACAATAATAAAAATATACAATTTAATGGCAATAAGAAATTGAGAATTTTGAATAAAAATGATTATAAAATTTGTGTAGTTATAATGATTAATGAGTAAAATGTAAATGTAATAACTAATAAGTAATGTGAGAATCAAGCCCTCAGCCCTCCCCCTGGCTACGCCACTGATACTATAATATATATATATATACTATAATATATATATATATATATATATATATATATATATATATATATTATATACCTATACGCGGCTACGCTTCAATTATTCAATAAACATTTGTAACACAGTCTTGTTTTTCTTCCCATTATTTCCATTACTGCATTACATACTTACGTCCTAATTAATATAGTTTTTATAATTTCAGCTTGTACTTTTGGCTTGGTTAAATTTAAATATAACATTAACTTACAACTTAACAGACTCTGACGACCGTGAGGCACGACGTCGTGCTTAGCACTTTAGCAGTTAACATCAAACAAAAGGCAAAGTTTAATATTTACGCGGGACTTGACAAAATCTAACCTAACTGATAAGAGTGATAATATGATATGTGCAATACGATGTACGGGTCGTGAGATCCAGACTAGACACAGTGTATAAAATAATACAAAATATATTTTCAAATGGAAAATATTTTTTTGGATGAGTGTGCCATTGTGCCATATCTTTAGATAACGAATTACAAGTTTTTTCATCAAATTTAGTATATTAATATTTTTATTAATTATATATTGTTGAACACTCAAGAAATAAACAACGTTTAATTTTTATCATTCAAAAATAAATATTATTTTTACTTTTCATTAATTAAACTCTACAGTTAATTTTATTGAAAAATTATTATTTTGGTATTTTTTTTATCAAATTTCCTTTGATAAGCGAATTGCAGTCACGGACTACGATAATATACTTATCTAGTATATCTTAGTCCGTGATTGCAGTGATAGTTATACTGATAAAGTGATAACAAGCGCTGTTTGGAGGTTTCGACGCTGGTCGGGCTGGTGCGCTGGTCTCAAAATTCATGGAATTATGATTCTCCTTTCTCCATAAGTATTAAAACTAAAGTAATTAAACTATTAAGTATAATAACATGAAGGTAAATGTGAGTGTAAATATTAAACAGACTATTCAGAATATTCATTATTTGCATAATTTATTACTGTTAATCAGTGTTGAATGCTGACTGATGTATAGGCATGTTCATGTATCATAATCTATTATAGCTTTATTTAATTTATAATTAATGAATGATTGGATGATACTTTAATTTGTATTCATTTATAAATAATACTTTAATTTAATATGTTATTCAATATTATTTTAATTGAAACTTGACTACCTTACTCTGAAATCAATTCTTCTTTCTTTTTCAAAACATTTTTCCGTCACTTTATTTTAAAAATCAGGGCTCACTCTTAAGTCTTCTAATATTTTTTTCTCAATCGATAATATTGCAAGAGAAGATAGTCTACCTTGACCTTGAGTAGACCTACAATTTATTTTTATCCTTTTGAGGGCAGAAAACGTTCTTTCTGCTGTAGCTGTTGTACTTGGAATAGTTGCAATTAATTTAGCTAGTTTATATACTTCTTTCAGACCTAAGTCTAGTTTATTTTAATTCATAAATTTGATTATTTTAGTTTGCTGCATTTATTCAAGCTACCAACTGTGCAACATGCAGATTCACAATTTCTACTTTTGGACGCTGCCTGTTAAGTATTGAACATGCACATTCGGATCACTGATTTAGATTTTGTAGCATCAGGTGTTATTTCCTTTTGACTTTAATATTAAAAACATATTTTTTATGCAGTCTTAAATAAAATAACTTAATTGATAACATGAGTATAACGAAACTGGTTCTTCAGAAAATAATTATCCTAGTATTTGCTTTCAAAGTTTAACTATACCTTTTATCGTAATAACTAGTGCTTGGTCAGGAAAAAGATTAGTTTTCATGTTGACAAATCTACCATCTATCTTTTTCATTTTGAGAATTACCTGTAAGAATTTAATTTTTTTTATGATATTTCATCCATTACAATGTATATCAACTTCTTACTTGGTGGACTATCCTTTAAACTTAATTTTTAAGTTTTTAACATGTCTAAAACATGAGTTTAGCTCACAAGAAACATAGGTATTGAATGTTGTTAATTTTTTAGTGATTTAACTTCTGTGCTTTTGCACAAAGTGCTTAGGGAACCATACAATATATTGTGGGTGCAAATGATTTTTGATATACCTACAACCATAATTTGTTAATGTTTGTTGGTTTTAACTTGTTTTTCATAACCAAATTATCGTTAAATGTAGTTTTAAATACAGTTTAATTTTAATTTGTTTTATAATTTGTTTCTATTTTTTTTTTTTTTTAATGTCTGTAGGTATTATTATATACCGGGTGATTCTTTTATCATTGAACACTCATTATTTCAAAAATTACTAATGTTTTTGAAAATATTTTTTTACATGGTTTCAAGTTGTTTAAAACCCAACGTTTTTATTAAAAAAATGTATTTTAAAATATTTTTTATCCCTATCATTTTTTAAGTTGTTACTTTTTTGAATGACAACATAGAGTTTTAATTTCATATTTCAAAGCAGAATATTTTTCTAAGTATTTTGATTCATAAAAATCGAATTTAGGACGAGTAGTTTATGAGTTATAAGTATTTAAAGTTTAGATTGCCAGAATGGAGTAGTACGGGGTTACCCCGCAAAATGTTTGTCCAGTACTCCGCTTGTCTAAACTTTAAATACTTATAACTCATAAACTACTCATCCTTAATTCGATTTTTATGAATCAAAATACTTAAAAAAATATTCTCCTTTGGAACATGAAATTAAAACTTTATGTTGTCATTCAAAAAAGTAAAAACTTAAAAAATGAAAAGGATAAAAAATATAATTTTTTAATAAAACGTTTGTTATTTAACAACTTGAAACTATGTAAAAAAATATTTTGAAAAAAGTCAATACTTTTTTAAATAAGTGTTCAATGATAAAAGAATCACCCGGTATAGTAATTTACTATAGTATCTATTGATTATCCCCATTTACAGCACCTAAAAATTAAAAGTTAAATAAGCCAAACAATAAAAGTGATTTATTAAAATATTGTTAAAACTGTTAAATCACTACAAATGTATTCAAAATAATTTCAATTTTCAATTTAATCTGTTATTTCTTAACATTTTGAATGTTTATATAGAATCCATTTAACCATTTGTGTCAGGTTTAGCTCTTATATAATACATATAGGTGATATACATGCACAATTTTCAAACATATTATACAAGTTAATCATTAATTATTACATTCTCATTATAATTGTTTCTCAATTTAAACTTTGCTTTAGGCACAGGACACCATAGTGAAGCCGAATACGCTCCTTCAAGAGGTAGTTTTCCGCTGTATTTAACTATGTTGATTGGGTTAGTGGATTGTTAAATTGACATTTTAGTAAATCTTAAGAATATACTTTTTTTTACTATTTTAATAGATTTTATATACTTTATGGGTGATTGTAGTAATTACATTTTACACTTTGTCCCATCAAATGTAGTTGCCATTAATCATAAAAATACAAATAATTATGTAGAATATAGATATTAAATATAAGATAATATATCATGTAGGACATTATTGAATATTTGTTTATTACAATTTACATATGTTCAGTATTTTTTTCAATAATGAACTCGAAATATTTGAACCACGGTGAAATTTTGGTCCTGTTTATCTAACACAGTCTGCCAGTCTGGTTACATGAAAAAGTAGGTATAAGTAGATTTAATATTTTAATGACCGAGAGACAAGAATTGCACCTTTAAACAATAATCTCCATAATTGATAAATTGATTAGAATCTTATTATGTTATTAATAATTATTGTCTAATGAGGATAGACAAAATACAGAATTCTCTAATAAAATAACTTTAATAATATATAAATATTCTATTTCCAAATTGAATAATCTGAAAAATGTGTTGAAAACATTACCACAGAATAATTTTCACCTATACTTACCACTTGGGTAATCTATTCAATGAAATTCCAAAATTTTCTTTTGTTATGTTATATTTAAGATAGTGGTTTTTCTAGATTGCATACTACAAACGTACCTATATGATGATACACAAATATTTATAGTATTTAAATATTTGTGTATCTATCGTCATAATATTTTGGTATTTTATGAGTTATGGCGCCAAACAATTTTTAGTGACTATGAGCATGATTATATTTTTGTTATGACTGTGAGTACATTTTTGTCATTTAGACGATATAGAAAAGGGGCTGAATAGGCAATCACATACATCTGGGTGTCAACATTTTATCTATTCTGTGTTATAAGTTTACCTTTAAAAAAAGTTTACCCATTCTAATCCATAGGATTCGCAATAACCTATAAAAATAAAAATGTACTTATCGTACCTATTCGTATATGTTTATCCAAACTTTCACTCCAATCAAACGTCGTTAACGATCAGTCTCGATTACTACAGTCTACAATAATAATTGTATACATTTTAAATGTTTAACTTATTAAAGAGGACGCAAGTCCTCCCATGTACTGACTTCTCATAACAAATACGACTTAAGACGTTTAACGTATTTGCAATGTCAAAAATATAAAAACAGCGTTGCACAGTAAAACATGTTCTCATCTTTATTGTCTGAAAATTTCGTTACTTAGTTGTGGCTGTAGCTTTATCGGTTGTTTTCCGGGTAAAACGGTTCTTGCAAATAATGATTGTTTTACATATTTTGAAATACGAAGTGTATAAGCTTGTCGCTCTWTAGTCMTTTCAAGTTAAATGGTATTTGATAACAATTAATATTAATTTAGTATCATTCATGAAAATTAAATTGGTGCTTAATTTATCATGGCATTATAATATGCTCATAACTCTGTGCAAGTCACATAAAGTAGTTGTACAGACGTAGAATAAAATAAACTTAATAATTTCCTTACGATCTAGATTCTAAAAAAAATTTAAAAAAGGTCAGTTGAGAATTTAAACAAACTCGAAATCATTCGGTTTCAAATAACGTCGCGCTGAAATAGGAGTGTTATACCTAACGTGACCATAATTTTTTTCCTTCGAAGCGGGACACCTGTACATTTTAATAAGAAAACCATATAATTTTGCGTAGAATAACAATTTTTTTTATTGAATAAAAAACATTAATTGTTTATATGAAAAATTCGAATATTATATTAATCATAACAGTCTCCCAACAATTATATGGATTTTAGTGTTTCACAGTTTATATAAAATATGTAGGTATACGTCATATACTGTTAAATGCATATAATATACAGACTCAGGGGCGTCATTTGGGGGGTGGCAGGGTGTGCGGTTGCACCCCTTACTTTTAAAATGTTACAATTGGCCTGCGCTTTGCTGAAGCCTAAAATAATGCACGAGCCACGAATTCACAATTATTTATATGATTAAAATCAAATTGTAATAACCGGTTTATAATGTATGGAAATAATTGAATGCAGAATATTATACATAATATACTTATGTATATCTATTTTTATATGGCCTGGTGAAATTTCAAAATGGCCTGCTTGAAACTTCGCACACTCGAAAAAAAATCTGAAATGACGCCCCTAGATACAGTATAAATGTATGATTGTGATATGTGATCAATAATTAATACCTACCACATGTCTGTTGAAACGGGGCATTTTTAGGTTCTTTGAGGACGGCGGGACACTTATCTCGAAAGCGGGACTGTCTCGCCCAAAGCGTATGGTTATACCACAGAATAGTACTCTTTTATCTACGATTGAAATGCGTTTGAATTCGCGCGCCCGTCCTACGAGTTACGACCAAAACTTGTCGTCCAACGTCCAACACTCTCCCTCGGTCGTCCCCCACCGCTACCACACACGCCGATCGGTCGCGCGCTTTTACGTCGTTATTTCACAACCATTACTGCGTTATTATTATTATTATTATTATTATTATTTTGATACTCCGCCGGACGGTGGGCGCACGCGCACGACACGTCTCGCCGACCGTCAGTGAGTTACCGGATCCGATCTCGAGGCCGAACCGCAGTACCGCACACGCCACACACGTTTTTTTATCCACCGTCGACGAACAGCCGCTGCAGTTTCGCACGTGTAATATATCGGCACATCGCACAGTATACGTCTTCGTTATTCAACGCCGCCGTAATATCGTCAAATCATGTGAGTTCGACAGTAATTTTATTTTTTAAATATTATTATTTCAATGACAAATAAATTGTTTCAATACGTAGAGGTAAGTATAACGAAATTAATAACGTCGTAATAAAGAGATGATAATATCATGCAGCAAGTGTGAGAAATGTTCGTGTGTAGTTCGTAGGAGTTTCTAGTCGTCTCGAACGAGCGCGCCGACGATCGTTGTCGACTTGTTTTCGATAACGAGTTTTTTTGATTTCGTGTTTTTCGAAAGGGTTAGGCCGTGACCGCGCGGACATGTGCGACGTGCGCGCGCTCGGACCGCCGACCGCGCAAGGACGTGTGTACTAAACGTGTAATGCGGATGGCAATAAAAAATCATAAATTGTCATTATTTCAGAATGTTAATGTTTATAATTTAATATGCTTCTTCGATAGATTAATTTTCGTTTTCCGGTGGCACCCCATAAATGTTGTCCCCTTGGCGTGCTCGTCGAGACTATTTTTTGTTGATTACTGATTGCGTTTTCGTCATATTATTATTATAATTCTTTCGAGTACAGCCGTCACATCGCCGGAGACATTTTCAGATTTACCTACGTTTCGATCGTTGTGTAATAATAAAAATATTCGATCTCAAACGACGTGTTCCGCCGCTTGTCGTCGTCGTCCTCGGAACTTCATTGCTGCAAACTCGTTTATGCGTCGCCGCCAATCGTATTTTCGTCTGCCGTTTCTCGTTTTGCGAGGATAATAGATATTACACCATTTTACGGTTCGATTTATATTCAGCGGAATAGGTACCAGCTCGTTACTGTTTTGCGATAAATAACTATCATAATAATAATAATATCGCATACGACGTTCGTCTAGTGTTATCTTGATTAGCCGCTATTAACCTCTGCTATCTCAATAAGACCGTTGTCCTGGTCCGCATATGTTATTATTATTATACGGTCTCGGAAATTAATATTGTCGTTAAAACACTTCTTGAACAAACTTTGGAGTTTGGACGTCGTGGTCGACTGTGCCGGTGTCGATAATGTTATGAGAGAGCGATTAATCTAATAATACCTTTTTTATCAAAAGTTATCGTGGTATTTCACAATGTTACTCCGGTTTCACATTTTTGTGGTTTTATTGTATTTATAGACTATTCGATGGGTGTTTTGTGTGGGGAATGGTGGATAGCTTTTAAATTTAATATATTATTTTAGTTGCCTGTTGAAGTTCCGAATTTCTACTTGAATGTTATAAACAACATTTCTACTAAATTTGTTAGAAGTTATAATATTTATACAGTTAATGACAACATATTGCACTAAAAAAATACTATATATATATATATAAAGAAGTTTAATTAATTTAATAGGTTTATAACATAATATACATCAAAACTATTTAACATTGTATTAGGTACGTAAACTGAAATTTTTTGTAATCAGTATAAATTTAATGTTTGAACTATTTTTAACAATAAGAATATTTAAAAGGTAATATTATATTAGTTTTGATTAATTAATTTTTACAATTTAGTGATTGGGTAGCTAGGATTTATAGCATTAAATAATTAACATTTGAATAATTTTAAATATTTAAAAACACTCATTTTATTTTTATTCTATGTATTTATTACATTTTTAGGATTCCTTATAATCCAATTTTTAATTTGATTTACAGCAAAATGGTTCAAAATACTGAAATTGTAGATGTCAGCAATAACAGTGTTTCGTTGGACAATTTGTCCGATTACATGGTTATTGGCTGGGATATAGACACAACTGGACGCCGTTTACTGGACGAAATATGCCACATTGCTGGTCACACTCCAAACTCGCAGTTTAATCAATATATAATGCCACATAATGACATTGATCAAGTAGCCAGAAGACGTCATCTTTTGTGTACTATAACAATGGGGCGTTTTCGTGCATTAAAAGATATCAAAAATAATAAAGTAAGATATTAAATAATAATAAATAATTTGTTTTTCATATTATATTTTAAAGTTAATCAATTTTCAAGTATCACATACCTAACTTTTGTAACATTCAAATTAGTAAAAAATGCTTTATATTTTCTTAATTTAAATTTCTGTAGCTATCAAAACCAAACTTTCTGTAAAAAAAGAAAAAAATTTGTTGGGTGTTAACAAACATTTATTTAGTAATAGAATATCACAAATACTACAAAACATAATTGTTTTTGCATTACACTTGGGATAATCTTATTTAATTATAGTTTAAAATTCCTATAGTATTTATGAAAATTAAAATTATTATGTGAATGAATTTCAAATATCAAGGTATAATAAATATTTCTTTAATACCTAATAATTATTTCTATATATTTGTTATGTTTAATGATATTTATTTAATGGGTTTTTTTCTTAGACATTAAAATCAAAAAGTGAAATATCTGCTTTAGCTGAATTTATAGAATGGTTAGAACAAATGTTGAAAGAAAATGGTAAAAAAATGGCCATTTTAGTGTGTCATGAAGTTAGCAAATTCAACACTTGTCTTTTAATTAAGTCTCTTCTTGCGTAAGAAAACAAAATATATTTATCTGTGTTTATTCTTGTAATATATTGTGTTTTTTTTTTTTTTGTTACTACAGCTATAATTTATTAGATAAATTCTCTGACGTAGTCAAAGGATTTGCTAACTGCCATTCATTTGCTCAAACCCACTGTCAAGATACTATGGTTATGTTTTCACTTAGAGTTCTGTCAAAGGTTCTCTTAGATAAGGATCACATTGATACTTCCAAGGCAACTGATCGTGCTAAATTAGCTTATGATGTGAGTTGAGTCTAAAATTATTTATTCATATTTTTACATTTTTGTCATATATCATCTCTTAAATAACATATATTTTGATATTTCATTTTTTTTATTCATTAGCTTATTCGTATTTAAAATTATCTTAGATTGTTCAACATTTATGTGTAACATTGGAAAGTGGTAATGATGATTCAAAAGAAGTTGTAACTGGAAGTGAAGTTTCTGAAGAAACCAAGGTCAAGGCATTATCTACATTCCTTACAAGTATAGATAACGAAGTACAGACATTGCATAGCACTCAAGAACTATTGGCAAGACAAAAATCACTAAATACAGTTTACCATAAGTCTTTGTCATACCAAACATCAACATTAGATCGCAAGAAAGCTATTAGTTATCGTAATTCAATCGCTAAAGCTAACATTGATTATATGACTCTGCAATCTTTATGGACTGTTAGTTAATTTAATTTTTAATTTTTTTTTTTTTACCCTCAAATCATATTCATTTTGAATTATAGTTTATTTCTTAACTTAATTACAGGAAAATAAAGACGGTTTCAAAGACGCTGTTAAAGACAAATTGCCAGAACTGTCTGATGAGGATAAAGAAAATATTGTTAGTACCATAATTATGCATTTTGAAAATCCTGAACCTGTTTCTCCACCACCTAAAGGAGGCCGAAAGTATGGYGGTAGATTCAGGAGACGTAGCAGCAGTAACAAGGACAACAGAAAGGGTTTATCTGAAAATGATGCTGGCTTTCTTTCGCCAAATTCAACTGACAACGCTAATGGTCACAACCTAGATGCAGAAAAGCCTCAGAACGAAATTATCAAAAGTGAAAATGGTGAAAACAACTGATTAAAAACCAAAGTTTGATTACCATTTTAAGTATTAAGTATTAAGTATTATTTAAAAAAAAAAATTTAAAAAAAAACGTTAAGTTTTTTTGTTGTTTTTCATAGACTACTTATAAGTTTTATAATAATAATTTTTAAATCTCTAAAAAACAATTGACTGTATGAAACAAAAACAAAGTGTCTAAAACTTTTCGCGTTCAGTTAACTATTATCTTTATGGATAATATATTATTATTTTATTTTAAAAAAATCAAGTCGATTTTAATATTTATTTTTCTTCAACTTCTATTTCTATTTTAATTTGTAAGAACGCGAATAAGTTGAGGTCTTTATAACATAGCACATGTAATAACGTTTACTAGATAAAACAATAAACAAAAAATATAACAACAAAAGTTATTTAATTTAATTTATCGCTGTTATTATTTATTATAATATTATCTTCATTTTATGTGTAACAAAACGATAATCAAGTTTGTCTGATATTAATTTTTTTATTCTTTTCAAAATGTGTAAATATTTATTGATAAAATGTTCATTATCTACTTTATAGACTTATGCTTGCTCAAATAATAATAAGGCTATCTTACAATAAGCATACCTACATCCATGTTTGTTGTGTTTAACACAAAAGTAATAGCAAATTTACATTAAGCAGATCATTTGCGTTATGTTGTTTTTTTTTTTATTGAATTGTGAACACTGTTTTCAGTTAAATGTTTGAGCAATTAAACGTGATCTGCCCAGTGGCGCAACTACACCTCTTGGTGCCCAAGTTACTAAAAATACTTGGTGCCCTACTACATATTATTTGCATTCTACAATTATAATTTATAGTTATGGTCACCAAATATACAAATTTAAAAAAGTGCATTTTAAGACTTAGCTCCTCTGTCAAAATTGAAAAATGTGAATACTATAATTATACCCATTTTGCCAGTGCCATAGCCCATAGGTCATCTCCATCTATACAAATTATTCATTTTATCTGATTACTCTATTTTTTTTTTTTTTATCATAAACTATAAAATCTAATTATTGGTGTGTGTCTTTTAGATGAAAATATTTTGAAATTTAAGTAATTTTAAGTACACTTAAACTGATTAGCTACTAACCAACCAGAATAGTATTCTGTATTACATTGGGTCAAACCATATAATATAAATGGATAGGTAATTAAAATTAAAATTATAAAAATCATTAACATAGTATATTATCCCATAATATTTTCTTTTAAAAAAGTACTATTTGATGTACACTAGGAGAATGCATCAAAGAAGAGCACTGTAATACGAAAAAAAGTACGTCTGGTCACCATAGTTATTATAGTATAGATTAAAATATTAAAATATTTCAACTAGGTAAAATTCAAAATATCCAATTTTTAAATCTGATTATAAGAACAATTTTGATGATAAAAACATTTTTTAAGTTATGAAGTTAATTTTTAGAATATTTTAAAATATCAATAAATTTTGATTAAATTTATTAAGAACATAATAACTTTTTTTTAAATATTATTTTTGGAAATTTCCGATATCACAAACATCAAATAGTGCCCTAAAAAATGTCAGGTATACCCTGGTGCCCTAGTGTAAGTACTACCCAACATCCCCGCTTGTTGCGCCATTGGATCTGTCTAATATACATTTGTTATGTTTCACACTTGCGTAAAACTGGAGACAATGATATCCAATACGGATTGGGCATTATCATCGTTTACAAGTTAATACATTGGGTTTTGATCATTGAGTGTATAATTTATTCTTAATTCAGTTACCATACAATTGATATAATAATACAATATAATTCTCAGCTCTAATTTAAAGATTTATTTGAATAATAATAATCATTTATGAGTAGTAAAACATAATTATACCATTTAATCTCATAGATAATGGATGTTGTCAATCTGAGTGGATACATTTAAAATAATGAAATACCTATGTCTACATCTGTTAATTTAAAGTCAAGAAGGTAAAATATACCTTTAATGCGTTAAAACATATTTTTAAAACTATACTGTACATTTTTCACTTGTTAGCTTAATCATCCCAGTGGTCAGTTTATATATGGCACCACCCTGAAGTTTTAAAAATATATTACCTCATACCTTCATTGGAACTTAGCCTGTAAGGATATCAGACTTCTTACAAKAATCAAGTTCTACTTCGTAGAAAAAAAAACCTCTTGCCAGCAATATTTATCGATTTCAAAATATTAACGGGTTTCTTCACAGTGGTCACACCTTAAAGAGACAGGTATCTTTTTGCTCCAGAGAATATGAATATTATAAATAATAAGACTTATCATGTTTAATATTATTAAACTATACTTTTAATTATTATTTTTTTCTTCTCTTGAGTATACTTATTGTGAAAATATAAGAATTTATGTCAAAAATAATATTTTTTATTATATAAGTTGACTATTTCTCCAACAGGTTTTATCGTTACATAACAGCTTTATTAATGTGTTACCGATATTTTATGTTTGTGTTTTTAATTTAAACAAATATTAAATTGTATGTACCTATACATTGCAAATATTGTATAATGTATTTTAAAAATTACTAATTATTACTTATAATCTTAGTTTTGTTAAGTCTGTAGCACAGGTTGATAAGACATGGCACCTATGGCTTATTTCTTTTTATTGATAGTTTTTTCGGTGAAATAGATTATAAATATTACCTAATGGCTAGTAATGATTAGGAGAATGAAAAAAATTACCTACTCTTACAATCACATAGCACTTAATCAATGAACAAATAAACTAGTGAAAATACATACCTAGTTAGTTGTTGACCTTATACATGCGTAAAACTGTATTTTGGCATTTATGTAATTTTTATCAGCTGAACTTTTAACATCTAAAATGAAACGTGTTTATTGGGACATTTAGTAAGTTATACCTTAGCACTCAGCAGAATAAACTTATTGACAACACATGATACCATATGTTGAAGGTTGTGGATATCTGTTTATGTGCCGAACAATTATTTTTTTAAGTGTTCAAGTTTAACAAAACTTAGTTTTAATTAATAGGTTGTTTATTAAGTATAATTTATTGGAATAATAAAAATTCCAATTTATGTAAGTTAATCTGGTTTATAAGAATCACACTTGCACAGATGATTATTGGTATTTATAATTTTKGTATGATTTTATCATTTGCGTTAATGGTGTTGTTATAAAATAAAATGGAAATCGCTTAACGTTTAATGTATCAATTAATAGATATTGAAAGAATTATTAAAAACTAAAAAGGATCGAGCAGGCCAGATTAGTTATTATTAGTATTAATTACAATTAGTATTAATTAGTCATAATTGTATATTAAAATAATACATCGTTGATGACAACATAAGAAAATAGATTTTATCTTTATTTAGTCATAGATAGATGGTGGTACAACACAGTACCTTTTGTATACAAAAATTAATAAACTACTTATAGTATCTTTGTATGTAAATTTGATTTGGATACTGTGCCCGTTTAGTATTTTTATTTTTAGTCATTACATACAGTGGCGTACTGGCGTGCCCTCAGTCTATATTTCTTTTAATCTATACCTATTTATTTTTAAAATCAAACAATAATYAAAAAAGCATTTATAAAAATCAAAAATATTATTTCATAAAATATGACCAATTTTGATATGAAAATAAGTCAAAATGCAAAACCATCTCAAAGAYTCCAAAAATAGCACAACAATTTAAAAATCTCAAAATATATAAAATAAAATATTTAATTTCAAGCTATCATAGTTTATACTAAAAGCTAAATAAAAAAAAATTAACTAATTTAGTTCCCTCGAATTACGAAACGAACTAGTTTAYTCTGCTATTTTTTAAACATTTTTCAAGAAATATGCAAATGCTAAAAAATCCTAACCCCAGASTAATAATACATATAAATTAATTGTGGTTCTATACTGTTCTAGTACCAAAGGCACAAACAAGAGGATTTATTCGACAATAGGAGGGGATTTACATCCTAACTCCCCTCCCCACCTGGACACGCCACTGATAACATACACGTGTTCATAAAAAAATTTAATTAATTTAATATTTCGGATCACATATTTAATACTTSATAACCCTAAAGGTTACAATGATAAATATATCGYATACAAATCTACAATAACGTTAGGTACCTATTGTATGTATATTAAGAATTATGAAYATTACTTAAGTATTGACTAGTTGTTCATAAGTTTTGGGTAGGGTAGAGTCGGTAGAGGACTTTTAGMATTTGCATATTTGTTTTAAACAATCACAAAAATATGAGATTACCTATACGTATTAAAAATACGTTTAATGTTAAAACAAAGCTAGATTAGTAATTGTATTCTGCATATAAATGCATATTTTGAGTAGGTTTTGTTGCTCTTATGGCATATTATTTTCATTTTTAATATTTTAATTAATTATGTTATAATTTGGTATGATCAGACAATAGTATGATTAAATCATATCAAAATAAGAAATTTCTAAATACAAATAATAATTTTTTAAGGGCCCCAATCCCTACAGTCTGCAGCGGTGGCGGCAACAGCAGCGGTTACAGCAAAATGTAGCCTGGACACAATTTTACCAGAACTATCAAGACAAAAGAATTTTATCGCCACCCCTGCTGTGTGGCGACCTTTATAAATTTAAATTATTATGTTTTCATATAATTTTTGTTTAAATTAAATTTATTTTTATTCTTTATATAATATTATAATATTATGTGCCTACTTGTTTTCTGGAAGCGCTTGGCCTGTTAGACAATCAGATTAATTTTCGTTTATTAATTTTATTTGTAAATAAATAATTATTGTCATGGCACAAAATAACAACTGATACCTCTGATACCTACGAATCACCAGTGGTCAGACAGACAAAGACAATTACAGCGCTTACTACTATATTTTATGTCTGTGGTTAGAGGTACTCGATTTATTCGCATTTCACATTCGGTGTGTTACTAAACGGTCGTCTTCGCGTTCTGTTTGTGATTTATTTTATTTTTGTACAGTTCTTCGATAAGTAAAAGTTTCATTAGGACTAAACTGTGTATCATTTATATGGCTACGGGCGCTACGGCGGCCATGTTATAATACGTAATTGAATTATGAAGGTAATTGTTATCAGGGGTGTACTCAAGGGGGGGGGGTCGTGGGGTTTGAACCTCCCCCATGACCTCACTAACCTGTGTAGTCTTATGCGTTAGTGCTTATATATAATATAACTCACAAGAGCAATTTTCTAATAAAAATTTTTTTTTAAAGGGAAAAAATAAACAAAATATATCTATTTTAAATCGTATGTCAACAATCAATATACAACGATTGCATGCATTATCTGTTAAGAACTGTAAGATTAGATAGGTAAATAAGAATATTTTTAAAAAGAAGGTGACAAAGTCCCAGTAATAAAATACAAAATGTTCAACCCCCCCCCCACCATTGAAAACTCCTGAGTACGCCTCTGATTGTTATTCTAATTTATTTATGTATTTTTATAATTAAAAAATTTCTTTTAGTTGCATATCCTCAATGGATACATGATTGTATATTATATGATTTTTTAGTGCTATAAGTATTTTGTTCTGTTATAAGTATTTAAAATTCAGATGAGCGATGTAGTACTGAGTGAGACCACCAATTGAACATTTTTTGGGGTACGCCTACGTACACACTACACGACACACGCCCCGTACTCCACTAATTCGAATATTAAATAATCATAATATTATAACTCCTACCTAAGACATTATAAAACTCATAATTTTGATTTACTCGTCCAAAATTCGATTCTTATGTATCCAAAAATGTTCTGCTTTGAATCACGTTTGACTCGACGATCCACATTTTCACAATAATCAAACATATTAATTTATATTCAAACACTGTACGTCTTACATTGTGACGCAAATTTGGATTATCGGCTCATAGTTTTTGCCTATATCTAGTGCCGTTCGCGTGTACTTCGATYCCGGCCGTATTATACCATGATATATTATAATTATACGAATATTTTTGTTCAAACGTTCAGTGAAGTTTTGCTAAGCTGTAAATAGTACGACTATACTAATCTATGAATATTAATATAGTAATATGTATTTTATCCGATTTACGTATAGATACCGAAATTTTAATTMAATCTTAGTCTCGTCGGGATTGTTTCAACCAGAGTTTCAACGATAATGCAAATTCGAAGAGACCAAAGAGCCCGGCTCTATATAAAACCGGAAATAGAACGATGTTGTTTGGTTAGATTAGAGCTGCTTGTGATGGTATCGCGGCGTTACACAAAAGTCGGACAATACCTTACAACTAACTTATTCTATATACGAAAGTCTGTCCAATGGTGATGAATGATGATAAAGCTTGGCTGGTCCGGAGCGCAATGCAATATTGAACAAACTGGCCACTGGCTACCCACACGGCCACACATATTACAATCATACACCAGACTTTCCACATGTAATGGTTGCTGGAAGGCTGGTGAAGACTGGTCCAGTCTTGCAGATCTCAGGCAGTCGGCGATGTCGGCGATGTCGCGATGATCACCATGAGTTCAATTTTCACCATAAGGCATGAGTACAGAGTCGCAAGTCTAATGGCCGAATCGGAATTCGCAACGGAGAAAATATACGTCTGCTGCAGGTAGGAACAAAATAAATAAGTACCTAATTTATTGGTAGTTGGGATAACAAATTGATAATATGCATATTGCATACATATAACATTATACGTGAAACGAGAAAGAATTAGGGCCGGCTCAAGCGAAAATGGTGCTCTAGGCAAAACACAATTTTGCTGCTGCTAAAATGACATTATTATCACAGTTTTGAAAATGGACTCATGTCGCCTATCCTTTGAGTCAGGCCTGAAAAGAATACACCAAATTAAATTATGTCACCTCACTAATGAAGACATTCATGGTCAATTGTTATAGTGTTTAACCGTTAATGGGAAAAATTTACATTAGAATTAATATTTTTAGAAACAAATTTTTTTTTTTTATGGTTAGGGCTTCGTCAACTGAGGTCATTAGCCTGGGGAACTGTAGGGGAAGGAACTGTAAGGTTTTAACTCGTGGGTTTTTTGGCAGAATTTTGAATGGACACCCGTGGGTTTCTGCCATGCCCGGTTGCCGGTTGGGGGCCGGCGGCCTCTCTCTCCAGACATCGCCAAAATATTATATTTGATGTTTTTGTACTGTTATTATAGATTGTTGAAATTTTAAGTTTTAATTATTTGTGGTAAATTTGTTATTTTTGAGTAAAAACTAAAAAAAAACTCTATAACTTAATACAAGATAATAGATAGGTATGTTGGATTTTGGTTTTCCATTTTGTGATATACTTACACTGTTCAACTTTTATTAATTTATGCATTGTATTTCTAATTAATTATTATAGCTCGGAATGCTCGAAAGGTACTTATAGTTGTAGAGTTCTTGCCTTAAGATTAATTGCAAAAATATTTCTCTTATAGCCTAATATAYAAAACTCTTAATTCTAATTGTTTTTGAACGAAGATTTGAGGAAACATTTTCACAGTATCGAGTCGTTTCACGACAGACGAACAATAATTATTATTGCATATACGCTCACATTGTATGGCCGCGACGTAACACAAATTTACGTTTTGGACCATCGTGTCGGCGTATATTTCTTGCCTATACCTATTGGCTATTCCCTAGTCCCGGTCGTATATCATTATTACCATCATTGATTATATATATTATAATAGTAGCCTACCTTTTTAATAATAATATGATAATTTAATTTTTCCTTGAACTGTTCAGAGATTATTGTTCCAAGTCGCAATAAGTTACATTTAAGTAACTCGATAAGTACGTACATATTTTTTTTTTTATAACTCAATGAGAGTTCAGTATTTAAGATAGAATAATTTACGTATATTAGATTATAATTTACCTGCACGAACAAACATATTATATAATACATGGATGACAAAAATATTTATTTAATATTGTATTCGCAATAATACACATCAATTATAATAAAATATGCTAATATTATACTAATAGATAATATAAATATAAAAATATTTTGTATGAAGAAACAAAGATGAAGTGCGTGGTTTTTGTTCAGAGTTTCGATGGCCCAGAAATTATGTATTTGTACCGTGGGTCAAAATAGATTATGTGATATTAGCTATATTTTCATTTTTAATATACTGACAGTTTATTTGTGAATTTTATTTCATTTGTAACATAGATTATGTTATATACAAAATTGGTATATAGGTTCGTTTAATTTAAACAGTGTTTTTTCATAGTTGAAATTTTTATTCGTCGCTGTACATCATTGTTTTACTGGTAGGTATATCGTATTATGACGCGTGTATTAATTTATTTTTTCGTATAATGCGTTTTATGGTTTTAATGTTGCTTATATATACATAGATCAATGCATGTGTTTGTACGTCATACTATAAATAATTCACACGTATGAGATTTTCGTTCTAGCAATATTTGAAACAAAGTCATCTAATTAACAAATCATTTATAGCTTTAAATATAATCATTATGTGCTCACGCTCTATTAGGCCCCAAAAGTGCTTGTAATAAATGATTTGGAACTTGAGATGGTCCTGGAATTGGTGTCTGTGAAGTGTTCTCTTGTCGTACAATAATGATAGTTAAATTAAATACACATTTTACTTTTTAAGTTACAACTACATATTTATTTTTTTATTGAACTTTTTTTTTTTTTTGGTATATATAATGATAATGAATAATGTGTACTATATAAAACTTGTCCTTACTAAATAACATGATAACAAAAACCAATAAATATAATAATATTTATCATACATTTCTGGTTTGAAGCATTATATTTAAATTTACATTTATTTAACGCTGTTACATTATAATTATTTTAATACATATTTAAAAGCTTTTATACAATCAATTTGAAAATAACCACTATTTATTTTAAATTTAACATTAATGACATATGATATGAGGTTCAAGTTCTAATATAAATCAAAATACCTACTTATCTATAATTGACTTACAAGGAGCAATGCCCCTCACATACCACTTAAGACTTAACATAATACCACGTGTTATAATTTTAATCTTTGATCACTATATATAGATACAAATATTTATCTTTTATTTTTTTAAATGTATACATTGTAATATTAAAAGATAGAAAAACTAAAATAATATACAAAAATTGTAGACATTTTGTATTCGAACATAAAATAACAGAAATAATGTCTCTATATATAACTAATATATTTTAAATAATTAATATTTCATATCATCTGCTTTCTTTTCTATCGGAATAATATGAGATTAATTTGAAAATACTCTAATAATCTATGAAATATATTATATATTATATAAATTTTAGTTTATAGAAAATTATAAGCTTGTGAAAAATTTAGGTTTTATATTTTATTTCGAATTTAAGGTTACGTTTTTGTCAAGTGGTATTAACTATAATTCAATAATAGGTACTGTTACATTTAACGTTATACCTATAATTTTTAAGTAATTTTCAGTTGTGATGTAGCAATAGATTTTCAATAATTGTAACATTACAATATACCCATTATTGAAAATACAAACGTATATATGATCGAACTTATTAGGTATGCGCATCTGATTCGTTGTTATGTATTTTGGATATTAACCCTATCATCCATAAAACATTTAAACGTATTCTAGTGATTTTATATAGGTATATATATATTACGCATGACAAATTTTGTGTTGAAGACATAACAATATTATTGTTATTTCAAATGCGTTATAAATTATATAGTTGACTGATGAATGGAAATATGTTTTCATTATTATTATTCTATTATTATTATATAATCATGGTAGAAGCATACCCTATGTTTTAATACGACTTCTACTGAGTAGCCTATATGGTATATAGATATTTTGATTATTTCATGTCGTGCCTTAAAAACTTAACGTTTCTTCAGTTTTCAACAAAATATGGTAGGATTTACCTAAACGCACAGAGTATATCGAGAAAACGTAAAAATAAAAATGAATCATGTATTACATATTTGTCTGATGAGACACACACAATATAAATGTAATATACAGTGAAATCACCCTTATAGCGGAACCTCTTAATAACGGATACCTAAAAATAGCAAAGATTTTTTTTTGTTAAGAGAACAAACTACAAACTTTTTATAAATTTGATAACCTCTTAATATAATAATATTATAACGTGTTTTTTATAATTTAAATGAATATTATCAATTATTTATCGACAGATAATAAAAATTGGGAATGATAATAATATACAACAAATAGTTAATATTCCGTAAGTATCATTAAATAACATAAAAATGTCTCAATAAAATATTAATCCAACAAATAAATAAAATGTAACAAAATTTTTTTTAAATGTAAGTTGCTTGTTTTTCACGGTACTCGTTGAATAAATTATAAATGACTTCACTAATCGAATATAAATATGATATACGGTTTAGTTAGTTTGTATTAAATAAAAGCTTATAAAAATTTAGGTTTTAGGTACATTTTACTTCATATTCAAGTTGTCCATTTTTGTCAAGTGGCAATAATTTTAAAACTACACTGCCACATTTTACGGCGTACCTCAAGCCACTGACAAAACTAATTTTACAAATCAATCCTTTTATGACTGAGTTTGTGTATTGCACTTGAAATTTTTCACATTTTGTTTTTTCAAGATAATAAAATTGGGTATAGTCAATTGTAAATACTCTTGTGGAGCTTCCAGTTCTAACTATATATCTATTTGAAAAAACGCTTAATAAATCATTTAACTTTTCGTTATTGACGAGGCTGCTGTAAATGGCACCAGTTAACTCATCATCACTTATATTCAAATCAGTTACCGAGAGTGAATTCAAGAGTTCTTCATTATACGTAATCGAATTATGGTATTCATTATGGTCACTATCAAAATTTTTCCACTCTTCTACTTGGTATTCAAAATCTGATGGGAGAAATACCACAGATTCTGTTGAATTCAGAAACATTAAATTGTTTTTTATAAAAAAGTTTGAAATCRCATCACAATCTTTTGATAATACAGAGGTGAAAGTAAAATAAAATAAAATAAAAACCGAAACTAATTTTTTCATAGAACTCATCATTATTTAGTATTTCAAATAAAGTTTTGCAAATCGAGATAAATTTATCATTTATTTTAATAATTTTTTATTTAACTTAATTTTTAAACTAAGTAGTTATGATAACTTTATAAAAGTTGTGATTAATGACTTTTTTTTAAATTTTATTATTATGGTTTTAATCGTTTTTAGGTATGACCAATAGATCTACAAATACTACAATAATATAAATTTTACTTGCTAGTTTAGACAGAGAATTATATATAGCTATTATTAAAAATACTTACGACTTTTCTGCTACCCTCAGAAGAATAGTCTTGGTTTTGGATATTGTGGAAAAAAGTCAAAGTTTAAATTTGGTAATAATAGTACAATTTTATAACGAATTCTTGTTACTTTTTCAAAGTCTTTAAGAACACTAAAAATAAAATGTACCAATTCTACTCAGTAACAGAGAATGTATCTTGTTATTATTGGCTCGATCTTATCAAAACAGGCTTCTCGGGGTTTTCCATACAATTATAGGATGTGCCGAAGATAAAATATTCATAAATCGAGTAGGTTATGGTAATGATTATTTAAATAAACTGGTTACTAATGTTACTATAAGGTATTTTTTATTGGTATTTTAATGCGCTAATTGCTAATGTGTATTATTTTACGCCAAATTTGTAAGTAATTTAAAAACAAATTGTATCAAAACTCAAAAGTGATTAAAACTCTAAAACGGTAAATTTCAGATGTATATTTTAACAAATATTCCCAGATACTATGAGACTATCTAAAAATATAATATATAACCTATAAATCTTTKTTATAATTATGTAGAAATTTGGATGCTTTTCATTTAAAGTATAGGTACAATGAGGTTCCAGTGGAATTGCGGTATTATAACATACATTCTGCAACAAGTTTACACATGATTATAATATATAAATTATATCTAACGACTAACACGAGATTTTACGTATGAGTTATGATTATTTTGGTTTTAAAACATAATTATATTAATTATTATGTCATATTTATATTGTTACATATTATATACATAGATCCATGAAAATTTGTTTTAATGATTCTTATTATTAAATTTGTATCTTTTTGTATGTTGTATTAATATTATTTTCATCAGTAAATTTCAAACACTCGGATCTATAGGTACAGGATAATATATAATTAATAATATCAACAATAAATTTGTCTTATTAAAAAGTTTCAGTAGGTAAATTAATATTACAAAAAAGTGAGTAGTTTTGAATTATCGTTTTATGTTAAAATTACGACGTACAGAAACAGACTAAATATGAATTCTAATAATTAAAGGTTGTTTACTCGTTTTTAATTTTTATTTTCAAATCCTAACCAATCAAGCTATTATCTAATTGGCTTGACCTTGATGCTGTGTACAGAACTGGATTCCTAGATTTTAACATAATTTTTTAAGATTTCAAAATATCATTTATTTTAACAATAAAGGTACTGGTTTACTTGGGCATTTATATTTTCTGAGCAATACATTTTGGTTTAAATTATTCGTCAGAATCAGTCTTAACTCATGAGTATAACGACATAACCTATGTATATTAAGGCATGAAAAATCAACAAGCTATTATGGTGAGCAAAAATGCTGGATGATAAATATTAAAAAAATGTTTATGATGTATTTTATGTCGATATTTAGTTTTGATTTAGCAGGTATAGGTACGCCTTTAAATATTATTTTATGCAATAGGAACTTGAAAAGTATTATATATTGTCTTTTTTTTCAATGCTTGAATATACATTTTGTGTTTAAGATTTATGTCTGTCTTAAATTGTCAAAAATGATTTCTGATTTTTTAGTTTGTGTAATATTTTATTCAAGAGTGTGGAAAAACTTCTGCGATCATTATTGAATAATTTTAAAGATATTTGGTATCATGGAAATTAATTTTTGCAAAACATTGAGGTAAAGTCTAAACCATATTATACATTTTGATAACGTTTTCCCTTATAGCACAATTGTACTTTACACAATATCTATAATATTATACGTACATTAATTAATATAAGACTAGGTATAGGATCATTTTAATTAATATTAATTTTCTTAGAAATATTTATCTAATTTATTGATACATCATAATGTTATATTTTTGAAATAATATTTGAAATATGATTTATGAATATCATAAATAACTATTTATTTTGAATTATACGGTTAAAAATGATTTCATTGAATGATATAATATTATTTTAGTTTAGTCTTGTGAAAATTAGTGTAAGGAAAATCTTTAGGTGATACATTGTATTTCGGCTTCAAGTTCACCTATTTCGTTGATAGGCATAAATTCTAATCCGATTTTTCCGCAATTAACCTTATATCTTACTCCAGCCACATATTTGATTTTGCAAATCAATCCTTCTATTCTTGTCGATGTGTATTGAATTTGAAATTTATCACAATTTTTAGATACAACATTTATATTGTTGATATATTTAAACGAAAATACTCTTGTCCCGTTTTCAGTCAAAATGATATATCTGTTTGGGAAAACTGTTATGATTTCTTGTGATAATTGATTGTCAACAAAACTTCTGTAAATTGCATTCGTCAATTGTTTATCACTTATATCCAAATCAGTGTTAGAGAGGGACAGTTTGTATTCGTCATTATACGTAATCAAATTATAGTACACATTGTCATCTTTTACATTTGCCCAGGTTTCTAAATAAGGTTCTAAATTGGAATACGGAATAAATATAACGGATTCCGTTGCATTCATCATATACATTTTATTACTTATTAAAAAATCTGAAATTAATTCACAACCTATCGATAATACACCGTATACAATAAAATTGGCGAGAATAAAAACCGAAACTATATTTTTAATACTACTCATTTCGAAATACTTAAAATTAATGATTTGATATGGTATTATAAATTATAAAATATTTTATTTCAAATTTGAAATTGTGTATAAATTAAATTTTAATCCAAAAAGATGTGAATATTTTTAAACTAGATGTGTATGATATGATTTATTTTTATAATTTGTATTATGTTTATATGGTTTTAGTTACAATCAACTACCTATATAATATAATATCCTACCTACTAATGATGCGATACGTAATTATTAGTTACTCGATAGCTCGACACAAAATTTCAAATTATTTTCAATTAATATATCTAGTTCTGGATTGTAAATTTTTCCAATTATTACATTTCAAAAAAGCTATTATTAAAAATACTTACAATCGATATTTTGTCTTCGGAAGTGTCGTTTTTTGATATTAGCAGAAAAAAATATTTTTAATTTAAAAATAATAGTAATATGTTATGACGAATTTTTTTATACCACAAGTCTCTTACAACACTAAAATGAAAATGAACTGTCTACTCGTATTTATATCTCAACCCTACTCATCCTCATCGACTGTGTGTAGGTGTAATTGGCTTTGATTTTATAAAAACTGGCTTCTTAAATTTTTCCCATGTAGTACTAAAGGTGTCTGTTTATTAAAGAGGGGCGGGAATATTAATATACGACATCAGTCTGTCGATGAATTTTGAGTTTTTCACAAACTATATAATATTATTAATTATTATAATATTATAAAATATTACACTATTACAGTATTATAGAATTAATAAATTGATATATCCATAGTCAAAATTATATATTGATTATAATTATCAAATCATGCTTTGATTATTGTAATTTAAAAAAAAGAATAGCACGTTAATTAACCTTAGATAAATACCGCTAACAAACACCTGATATATTCTTTACTTTCATTATTGAGATGGAGGTTATTTCTGCCTCCTGCTGAGGGTTTCACCTTATTTGGCCTCCCAAAATTTGCTTAAACTTGAAATAAAAAATATAAGATGCAATCGTTTTATTTAAAATCAAGAGATTCCGCTTAACTTGAAAGATATTTACGGGCAAATAAAGTGAAGGTCAGTTGTAATTATTATACGTGACGTAGTAAGTAGCAAAATACTGCGCAAAATGATTGACGATTATACCCAGAGGATTGATAAATCGTAATTTAAAATTGTTATTTTTTTCCGCTTTATTTAAAAACCAGAGGTAGCCGCCAAACGAGTTGTTGTTGATACCTATGACGTATGCTTATAAATGGATGGGATGGTATAAAAACCAGTATAATTTATTAAAATATGTTTAATGTAATTATCGCGATTGAGCGTATTTTGTTTCATGTAGAATACATTAAAAATATTTAAACTGGATAAAAATAAAAGCTACGTATAGTACCATACTTTTTAATAGATCTTGGTTGAATAATTTTATATTAAAACACTTGCTTTGTCGGCATAGTTATAAACTATTTTTAAGTTTTTAACCATGTGAAATATAAAAATAAAATTTAAGCCAATTTATTTCGAGAAAAAGTAATAGTTCTTTATTTAAAAAGTTCCAGGTCAAAATATCTCTGCAAAAATATCTTAGATTTAAAATATCTCCAGTAAAAAACATCTGTGGTACAAAGTGTCTCCGTTTGAAAATATTTTAAGAATTTTAATGCTTTTATAACAATAATTATTAAAAGTAGGTAAAAAATATATTTTTATATACTATAAATTATAAACTATATCTTGGTTAGAATTTATATTTACTTTGTATTACATATTAGGTATTACTTACAATTTAATTATATATAAATCGTTCACAACTTTAAATTGTAAATAAAATATATTTTACGTTTACGACTAATGGCCGTTGTTGCCGATGTCTTTTGATCAATAAAAAAAAATATATTTATATATTTTAGTGATAAGTTTTTATTGTCTGTGGATTATTTTCTGTTTTCTCACTGTATTTCTATAAAATTCGCTGAATTATAAAACATTTGATTATATAATAAATAATTTATTTTGTACTTGTAATAACAATAATAACATATTATTAAATATTATTAAATATAATAATTATTAAAATATTTTAATGGGAGATATTTTAAATCAAAGATATTTTTGACTAAAGATTCTATGACCGGTCGCCGATAAATAATAAATATAATACTAGTTAAATAATATAAGTTACAATTAATACGTAATTAAAAATACAATAACTATAAATTATTTTTATAGCCATCAGCAAAGACATAATATTTTATTCAAAAATAACTAAGTACACGACATTTAATATGAAAAACGCTGATAAACTATACAGTCGAGCACATATTCTTAACAGTTTTTGTTTCTATCGTGCAATCGTTCTTTAATGGCTAGGTACCACATATTCTCAAAATTATTGATATACCTAAGTTGATTGAGTAGTGTTCATTGTATGTTTTTACACTTTAAAATCCAGTAAAAGGTGATGATATCGTTTGCTGTGTCTTAGATTCTGAAATGTACCTATTTATTATTCTCTTTTAGTACAATTAATTTTTGGATAGAAATAGTGCCCAAAACCTTTCCCTTGTTGTTTTCAATGATTGTCACTGGGACGTGGTCTTGACTCCCGGTCAAACGACATTTAGATTCAAATGATTTGCTTCATACTCACCGTCAGCGATACCAGCGTGCTCACCGACTGGAGCTATAGGGGCATGCTGCGGAATCAAGCCACACAGACAACCGTGGTTAGGAACGGTAATAGGTCTGTCTCTTCGTATACTCACACGCTACCTCAGCTCCGTCCGTACTTTACTCATAAATTCCTGGCATTATTCAAATGATTGGTTTTTTTTTTTTTATTTCTACTAAATTATAGAGACACGACAACTAAGTTATTTTTGAATATAATATTTTGTCCTATTTGGCTTTATTTTTGGCATTGCTAACGACGCGTCAGCCTCATCTTGCTGCATCAATATTTATTTTTGTTTGTTAAATCAAACAACACACCGTTGATGAAGTTGGCATTTGCTCGATCGCATAATTTTTTTTTTCGATTAACAGTAACCTAGTAACGTTGAACACCTTATTTCGTATTAATTAACGGTTATGTAAATTCACTCCAACCAGCTATAACTATACGGACATGTCAAAACGGATACTCCGCAGGCCATATTGTCATCTAGTTGAAACTTTTAAAAATTATTACACGTTTCAAACAATTTTTAATAAATATCTACTAGAATAAATATTATATTGACGTATATTATGTACTATGTGTATATACATATAGAGTTAACTTAACTCATAAAATATAGGTTTTAGAGTATAAAGGTTGATTTTTATTTCTTATACAATATCTGCATATAGAAGTCATGTTAAGTGAGAATTTAGTCTGTAGTATTGATTTTTTACAGAAAATATTGTTGTGTATATGATGGTTCTTGATCTTTAACACGTTATTAATTTCATCGTTTACTTTCTTTGCATTGGATTTGAGATACTATTCGACTATAACCATGGAGTTTATTATATATGAGTATATAAAAGTATAATTTAAATTAATATTTCCATGTAATGTTTATAGCTCGGTCCATTAAACTTTATCATTTAAAAAAAGAAAACCATAGTGTGTATTTAAAAAATAAAAATAAAAATGATATTTTAATGACTTATATAACATTATTAATTAACACTATTAATACAAAAAATACACTACACAAGAACGATTGTCAATCAATGTTTAGTCTAAGTACACTGTTAAATCATTTTAATCTGTACATATTGTCTCGCATTGGGCATAACCATTTTCATCAATGGGAATTAATAACAATTTGACTTTGTCACATTTAATGTTGTATCGTACACCAGTAGTGTACATAAATTTGCAAATCAAACCTGATATCGCTGATTCTTTATTTCGAACCATAAAGTTTATACAATTTGGTTTTAATATATTATATCTGACGCCATATTCTAATGAAAAGGCTATAGAGTTTCTAGCGTTTGTACGTACAGTGTATCTATCAGGAGAAACACTTAGTACATCACTTGAAAGTTTGTTATCAATGAGACTTTTATAAACGGCTTTGGATAATTCTTCATCATTAATAACCAATTTAGTTTTCAAGAGTGACTGTACTCTTTTACTATTAAAACTAACTTCGTTTCTTACAAAACAATCTTCGCCTTCTACACAAGTCGGAGTTTTCCACTCGGCCTCTCTAAACTTATTATAGTTAAATAATGTGGGAAGAAATACAACTGATTCTGTTGCATTAAACATAATTAAATTTTTTTCTAAGAAAAAATTCGACATTGCGTCACAATCTTCCGCTTTAATTGACAAGGTGAAATTGATAACAATAAAAACTGTATGGAAAATTAAATTATCTATAAAAGACGACATTTTTGTTATTACAAAAATTACGATAAAAATGAAATTTACGGCAATGAAATATTAAGAGCACGTAATTTATGGTTATTATCATAAATCCGGGAATAGTGTTATGATTACAAAATATTATAAATTCACAAACAACATACTTACGAAGTGTTCACGAGTTCATGTACCGGAAAAATGTCTAAGATGTTGTCAAAAAAAAAAAATGTAGATTTAAATCAAGACTTATGATAAAATAACTAAGTAAAGTTTCACTAGGTATAACAATAAAAATAGGTTAGGTATATAGTATATAGTATATAGTATATCTTACGCTTATTAAACGTATACTAAGAATAAAATGTACGCCATAGTGGTATTTATATCCAAACGTTGCCCGGCCTCAATAACCGTCTTGAAATCTAATTGGCTTGAACATAAACGTGATACAAAACTTATTTCTGAAATGAAAAGAATCATTCAATTTACATATACCTACAGGATGTTTCGCGCATTTTTATATGTATAGTATGTTTATACTAATTCACACTTTAAGAATATATTAAACTAATTTATTATTTATTTAACTGTTTACAAAGAGGATATGTATTAGTTTTGACGTTTTGCTACTTTGCTAGTTTTGTTGAGAAAGTGATTAGTGATTTAATTCTGATGTTAGCCTTAGCCGTTATAATATACAGTGCCGTGGTAAGCCACTGGAGACACACGTCATACCTTACCTTTTCATAAATCTATTCCCCTCCCAATAAAAGGTAATGGCAGTGAAAGATGGTTTTTTGTCGCTTAGCCACTTGGATAAGATATGGTGGGGACATCCCCTCTAGAACTTKTATACAAAGAAGTAGATAGGTAATAAGTTCATATACATTTACTTTATATACAATATAATGTAAATTATATTTCGTTGGTATGACGTATTGACGTATAAAAACGAATTGATCTTGTGGATATATTGTACAACTAATTAGTGTATAATAATAAATTATTCATGTATTTTGAGTTACACAAAATAAAACAAAATCAATTTTGTCGAAAATAAGTTTTGTATAAAAATTCCCGTTATTCATACCTAATTTTATGGGCGATTGTAAACTCTCTCGGGTCTACTCCAGTACTACGACCTGACGGAAACGGCCGTGTAAACTCTCCCGGGTTTATTCCTGTACTACCTAACGGAAATATGTAAACTCTCCCAGATCTATTCCTGTACTATCTGATGGAAATATGTTAACTCTCCCAGGTCTAGTAAAAATCATAAAAGAAATTTAATATGCATTTAAGTTGCGTTTAAAAATAGTCGA